GGGGGGGGTCGTGTGGGGGCTGGGGATCTCCCCATCCCCACTGTGCTGGGGCAGCCAGGCCTGACGTGTCCCCTGCGCTGTCCATGTCCCTTTCACAGCTCTGCTCCCTGCCCGGGCGGGCTCTGTGCTGGCACGTTTTGGGGTCGGTGAGGCTGCAGCGGGGCTACCGCGGGGACTCCCCAACGGACTCGGGGAAGGACGTGCTGGAGATCCCTTTGCCTCCCTGGCAGGAGCGTCCTGATGAGCCGCTGGAGACCAAGAGAGCCCGGCTTCTGTATGAGAGCCGGAAGAGGGGGATGCTGGAGAACTGCATCCTGCTCAGGTGAGGTGCCGGCTGCCCATCCTGGCCGCTTACTCACCTCCCTGCTGTCTGTCCTTCCCTACAGCTCCCTAACAATTTGTCCCCTGCAGATGGGAGCGGGCAGGGATGGCTTGTACTTTACAGGAGAGATAACATCAGCCCTGGAGAGCTAAGGGAGAAAGGCGGGTGGAGGTGCCTTAGCTGCTGCAGTTTGGCTCCCTAAAGATGTCACAGGTTTTTAATTAACAGGGAAAAGCCCTGAGCATTGCAGGAAAGAGTTTGGTGGGGTAGTGCACAGCCGTAATCCAAAACCTAAGGAGCTGTGGTGATGCTTAGAGGATAGAAGGCAGATAGAAGGCTGAGCCATTGGGTAAATCACAAGAGCTTTGCTTGCATGGGTGCAGGATGCAATGATCGGTGCTGCTGCTGGGCAGGATGGGGCAGAGCCAGAGGCAGCTGGAGGCACGTGAGAGCTCTGGAGGAAGCTCCTAGCTGATGGCTGAGCTGAAATCCTTTGGGAAGGATGTATGTAATTTCTGGGATGTATGAACGAGGCAAGGCCAGTTGGGTTTCAGGACTGAAGTAGTGGTTAACAGAGAGCAGGCTGGGGCTGAAGGCAGGTCACTTTGGATCCAGCTCCTCCGCGTCCTCTCGCATCGCACAGAGAGCTGGGTGTCAGCCATGGCTGGGAGCAGCATGCCAGCGTGGCCTTCCTCTGGTCACCCACGCTCAATCCTCGTACATCCTCTCTCCAGCCTCTTTGCGAAGGAGAACCTGAACCACATGAGCGAGCAGCAGCTGAACCTCTACGACCGGCTCATCAACGAGCCCAGCAACGACTGGGACATTTACTACTGGGCCACAGGTACGGTGCAGCTGCCTGTTGCCCTGCCCGCTCACCAGGGCACCGGCTAAGGCAGTACTGTCGCTCCAAGCTGTGGGAGCTGGGATTAGCGGGGTGACCATGGTCCTTCGGGACAGGATGGAGCCGTTCTCTTGCTGCCCCCTTTCTGTTTTTACCACAGAAGCAAAGCCCACACCGGCCGAGTTCGAGAACGATGTGATGGCCATGCTGAGGGAGTTTGCCAAGAACAAGAAGAGGGAGCAGAGGCTGCGGCAGCCAGACCTGGAGTACCTCTTTGAGTCACCCCGCTGACAAGAAGGCCGCCTTCTCCCTCCCCATACCCTGGAGCAGAGGAGGGACATGGGGCCCTGTGGAAACACTGGTGCTGCTGCCCTCCCTGTGGCTCTCCTCCTCCTCCTCCGGCAGTGGCTCCCTCGGACTCTCAGGGCATGATGAATAAAGCCGTGGCTGCTAGCCCTGCTGCTCCTGCTGCCTGGTGAGCTCAGGGCTCTGCTCTTCGGCGGCGTTGGTAACGGGTGCTCAGGGGAGGCGGCAGCAATCCGAGCTTGCTCTGGCACCTGCCAGCTCACCGCTGTCTCCAACTCCCTCCTGTCCCTCTGAAACTCTTTTTTATGGGAGCCTGGGGGAGGTGACCCCACACCCGGGGGGCTGTGGCTCCCTCCACAGGAGTTTGAAGTGGGGCATCCTGCTCTCCGGTGCCATCTGCGGGGTGTCCCAGCTGGGAAAACGGTCCCCAGGCAGCGGTGACACTCTCTGTGACCGAGGTCCCCATGTGTCACTGCGCCGCGGTTACCAGGAGACAGCGTCTCCATCCCAAGGTCTGCTTCTGTGGGAGACATTCCACAGCCACCCGTGCCTCCGGGCAGGCAGGGAGCTGCTCTAGGACAGCCCTACCATGGCGTCTGCCTGTCTGTTTTTCTGTCCCCGCGCTAAGCTACGATCCTTGTTGCAGGACTCTCCTGCCGCGGGGCTGGGCATCGTCTCCCCCTCGGTGAAGGCACGCAGTGGGGGAAGCACCGACCTCATGAACTTCTACGCCACGAGCTACGCGGTGGCCTACGGTAGGGGGTCCCGAAGCCCTCCCCAGAGGTGTGCGGGGGCTCATTCCCATGACGAAGCCCCCTCTCCCCGCTGCCACCCAGGCCCGCCGCGTTTCCGTCCCTGCCTCGGCCACCACACCGGCACCGGCTATGTGTCCAACAACCACTCGGCCATCTCCTGCCTGCTCTGCCCGCGCGGTGCAGCAGAGGGGTAGGTACCCCTGCTGCAAGTGGAATGGGGGGGGGGACACGACAAGTTTTGGGGCCACGCCATCACAGCCACGCTGGCCTCCCACCACAGCCACTGCCAGGACACTGCCACGTCCACCACCACTGAGCACTTCAAGCCCTTCTGGCTCCCCAACGGCCGGAGCCTGCTGCCCTGGCACGTCCACCAGCCGGAGAGCGGGTACCTCCAAGAGTCCTCCCTTTCCTGCCCCCACACCAGGGGGGTGAGTCCCCAGCACACGTGGCTCCTCCAGGGCCCCCCCAGAGCATCCAGGGAGCATGGCACAGAGAGCCGCTGCGCCGGTCCTGCCCAGCCAGGTATGGTTTTGGGGGTGTCAGTGGTGCTGGGGCCAGCTCCGTTCCAGGAGGTTTTGGGGTGTCAGTGATCCCAGGACTAGGTCTGACCCCAGGAGGTTTTGGGGGTGTTGGAGGCCCCCTGCCCTGCATCACCCACACCTGCCCACCCCCAAACACAGGGGGACAGGCAGGGGCCGTGACACCAGGTAATGCCATGGCTGGCTCCAGGGTCCGTGCGCAGGCTGGGCTGGGGACAGGGACGAGGACAGTGGGGCTCCCTCCCTGCCCCATCTGCTCCCCACAGATGTCCTGCAGAAGATGACCATCGGTGCCAAGGAGCAGTCGGGCTTCACCAGGGCCACCCCGAGGAGCGACAGCATCCTGCCAGTCCTGCCAGCCCAGCCTGTGAGCCCCTGCCCCACCAGGTCCCTTGTCCCCCGCCAGCCCCTCACCCCCTTTGCACCCCAAGGGACAATTTTGCGCTTCTGCAGCTCGGCGTTAGCATCACCACAACGGATTACCTGCCCTCTGTGCGTAGCCACGTAAGCGGGGCGAGGGGAGGGGGTGGCAAGGTGAGACCCCCCCCAGCAGACAGGGCTGGGGTGCGGGGCAGGGGACATGTGCGTCCCACCCACCCCATCTCCATCCTCTGGCAGGGCGGCGAGACACTCCTGGCACTGCCGGCGGGCTCTGAGAGAGGCAACGGGTTCAGCCGGCAGGTGCCAGGCTGCCTGGGCATGGCGGTGAGCGGGACCCCATCCCACTGCCCGTCCCCATGTGCCCTGCCTGTCCTTATCCACTATCCCCACGCAGGGCTTGCCCGTGGTGGGCCACGCCATCCCACTTGTCTCCCGAGGGCTGCAGGCACCCTGAGTGACCCAGGCCAGCCCTCTGGGACAGCAGGGTGCTGGCAGGAAGGTGGGTGCAGGCATGACCTCGTCCCCCTCCCTGCAGGACCATGCACTCAACCCACCTCCATCCCCCCAGGAGCCGTTAGGGTTCACCATTAACCATGGCCAGTATGTGACCCCCCCCCGAACCCGTCCCCTGCAGTGCCAGGTGAGTTTGGGGTGACCCTAGGGGGATAAGGGGGAGGCTCCAGCTTCACCACCCTGTCCCTCCTGGATTTTCCAGCCTGGTGTTGGCAGGGTCCAACCTGGATGGCGAGACCCATGGGGGGCATCCAGCCCCAGCGTCCCAGCGGGTTCAGCACCAACAACCACCCCACCGGGCTGGGGGACATCACTGGCCACCTCCCGGTGTGGCCCCCCCGGGAGTCCCAGCCTCAGCGGTAGCTCCCAGTTCTTTGGGGCCTCCCCAGTCCCTGGGAGCACAAGGAGAAATAAAGACCCCAAACAGTCTTCCTGGGCACAATGCCATTGTCACCTTTGGCTCTTCGAGACACCGTGGAGGGGCTGCGGCTGCCCCCAGCCCTTATTTTGGGGGCTGCCTGCACCCCGAAGGCTGGCAGGAGGATTTGGGGGGCTGGGGGGCGGGCGGGGGTGCCGCCTGGCCAGCAGCCGCTGGAGGGCTGTACGAGCCCGGCTTTCCATGCCGACTTTGGGATGACACAGCTGATTTGCGGCAGGGAAAAACCAGGCAGGGCTGGCTGGGGTGGGCAGCGGGAGGAAAAGGAGGAGGAGGAGGAGGAGGAAGAAGAGCCCCAGCCTGTCCGGCAGGACCCAACAGGATGGGCAGCCGTGGCATGGGGGTCCCCTGGGGTCTTCGTCCATACCCTCCCCGGCCACGGGGCGTGCAACCAGGCTTCGTGGGGTTCGAAAGTGCGCCGGGGTGGGAGGGGGGGGGCCTGTAACACCTCCCTTTGGGGGGGGCGTCCCAGATCACAGAGGGACCCCCACCCTGGGAAACGCTGCCCCCAGGCTGCGGAGGGTCTGGCCGGGCAGGGGCAGGGCG